CAATTTTATTTACCAGGCTGACAATAAAATTGCTGTTGTTGCTGAGTCCCATTGTGTTGAATACAACTCACAACAATCTTATCTGAACTCTGTCCAATCCTATGCCATCTTCATCATTTCTGACACACTTCAGCCCACTGCTGCAGTCACCATGTCAATCCATCTTGTTGAGGGTCTTCCTCTTTTGCTTTCTATCCTTACTTGCATTATGCCCCTTTCCAAAAAAAAGCCTCCTAGCAACATGCAGAAAGTATGTGAGACGAAGCTCTGCCATCCTGGCTGCAAGGATCACTCTGTACTTTTTCCAAAACATTATTTGCTTTTTTGGCAGCTCATATTCAACAGGGATATTCAGTGTTGTTCTCTAACACTATACCTCAAAGACATTAATTTTTCTCCTGTCATCCTTATTCACTGTCCAGCTCTTAGATACACAAAAAGTGACTGCAAAGCCCAAGTCAGGCACACCTTACTTTGAAGAGGTCCCCAACAGCAGAACTGCCCAATGCAATACATCTTCTCATCTCCTGACTGCTGGTTTCAAGGATGTTGTTTGTAGATCCAAGTAAGATGAAATAATTGACAATTTCAATCTTTTCTCCATTTATCATGATGTAGCTTAATGGTCCAGTGGTGAGGATATCTGTCTTGATGTTGAGATGCAATCCATACTGAAGGCTGAATTCTCTGACCTTCTGCAGCAAGCATTTCAAGTCCTCAATTTCAGCAAACAATGTTTTAGCAAGTAATCTTCATAATGTGGGTTGTTAGAGAGTTTTCTTCTTATCCTGACATCACATTCTTTATCTCCTAGAGTCCAGCTTCTTAAATAATTTGGTCTGTATACATACAGACTGAACAGGTAGGGAGAAAGGATACAACCCTGAAACAAACCTTTCCCTATTTTAAACCATTGCTCTGTTCAAACAACAGCTTCTTGGTCTAGGTATAGGTTTTGCATATGCATAATAAAGAGTTCTGAAATTCCCATTCTTCTAAATATCATCCATACTTTTGTCATGATCTAGTCAGATACTTCTGCACAGTCACTAAAACAAACAGACATTCTTCTGTTTTCAACCTGGATTAATCTGACATCAGCAAAGATATCCCTGATGTTACTGCCTTTTCTAAAGTCAGCTTACACTTCTTGTAGTTCTCATTCAATGTTCTGTTCTAGCTATTTCTGGATAACCTTGTGTAATAGTTTGCTTGCATAAGCTAATAAAGAGGAGATATAAGGATAAATGGAAGAATACTACACCAATTCCCTACATACAGATTTGAGCTTAGAGGAAACGAATCAATTCCCTGAACGACAATAACTCATGTAACATGAAATATTTAATGCAAAGAGCCCAATCATTAATAAGAAATTTAAATCTGCAACTTAAGAAATTCTAAAATTTTCAGACCTTGGAGGTTTAACTGAAAAATTCTAAGCACTTAAGATAAAAATACCAATTGCGGCTCTCGGGTGGATGCTGCTGTGTCAGCACGCGGGGGCCTGGGTTCAAACTTGAAATAAACTTTGTTAATTTGGCTAAAAAAAAAAAAACCAATTGCATACACTCTCAGTAATATACTTTCCAATTCATTGCTTAAAGCCATTATACCAAAAGTAGACAAAGACAGCACAAAAGAAAACTTTTTTATAGTCTTCATGAATACAGATGCCAAAATCCTTAACATGGATTGATGTTGTTAAATGATGATGTTGGTAAGTGCCATCAAGTTGACTGACTCATAGTGACTATATTATGAACAATAGGATCTGAACTTGTACCATCTTCACAATCGTAGCCTCACAATATATATGCTCAAGCCGACTTGTTAGTCACTGTGTCAATCTGTCTTGGTGGGCCATCCTCTCTCTCTGGTCCTCCAATAAAATATCAGCAAATAGAATCCAGTAACATATGAAAAAGCTGTACATCAAGACCAAGGGTGGTTTATTCTAGGGAGGTAAGGCTGTATCAATCTTTAGCAACACCAAAAAGATCAAGGCAATCCATCATACTAACAGGCTAAAAGAAAAAAAAGGAAAAAAAAAAAAACAACACAATCCCACATGATCATATTGATAACAGACAAAGCACCTGATAAAATACACCTTTTATTCCTGATAAAAATTCTGAAAACTCAAGAGTCCTCAACTTACTATAGAACAGCTACAAAAATAGAGGTCTTATAGATCTAATAGCTCAATAGGGAAAGACTAAATGTTTTTATCCCCCTAAACACTGTTAGGAAGTCTAGGATGTCTGGTCTCACCTCTGGCATTCAACACAGTAAGTGCTAATCCAGTAAGGAAAAAGCAGGAAACAAAAAGTATAGAGTTGGAAAAGAAATCTGTTTCTGTTTGTAGGTTATATGACAGCCCACTCTGAAAAATCTAATGAATTTACTAAAAAATAAAACTCCCCTCCTTAGAACTAACATGCAGTTCAGGTATAATGTTGAACTCAAAATCAACATGCAAAAATAAACTCTAATTTTATTTAGTGAAAAGCAATAAACATGTGGAAACAAATACATAATACTACAATCATTCAAAACATACGTAGATATAATTCTAACAAAATATATATAGAAGTTGGATGCTGAAAACTACAGAATGTCGATGAAAGAAACAAAGATCTAAATAAAGAGACATACTATGCTCATGGGTTGTAAGACTCAATATAGTAAAGAAAGTAATTTTTCTCCCACATCTTTATATACACTTAACAAAATGCCAATCAAAATCCTAAAAGTTTTTCTAAATATAAAATTAATATGGAAAAGCAAAGGAACTGGTTAAAACAGTTTTGGAGAGAGAATTAAAAAAGAACAAAGTGGTAGAAATTACCACGACTGTATAACTCTGGTAGAGGGATAAAGATAGATCCAAATAGAGAACTCAAAAATGGTGCTGTGGGTTTATCTGACCTAACAAATATGGTCAAATAGGTTTTGACAAAAGTATAAAATCAATTAAATAGAAAAGATAGTATTTAAATGGTACCAAAGGGAATGTCTATTGGCAAAAATATTGAAACTTCACCTAGATCTTAAACCTTAAAATAAAAGTTAACTCAATGTGGATCACACATTGAAACATGTAACATTATCACCCTAAAACTTTTTAGAGGGAAAAAAGTCTTCAGGATCTAGAGCTTGATGAAGAGTTAAAAAATATGATTCACAGACTATATATAAAATAAAATTGTTTTGATAAATTAGATTTCCTCAAAATTAAAAAAGTTGTGTTCTATGAAGGATTCTACTAGGAATATGAAAAAGATAACCTACATGCTGGAATACCTGCAAACTACGTATCTGACAAATGACTCATTAGGGATATATTGAGAACTCTAAAACTCAATATAAAAAAAAAATTAAATAAACCAATCAAGTTACAAGAAATGAGTAAAGATATGGAGAGACATCACCAAAAAAGGATATATGGATGGCAAATAATCACATGGAGAGATGTTCAACATCAATGGCCATCAGGGAAATGCAAATTAAGACCACGATGAGATAACTACACACCTACCGGAACAGCTAAAATAAAAAATAGTGACAATACCCAATCCTGGCGAAGCTTCTGAGAAACTGGATCTCTCATACTTTTCTGGTGGGAATGTAAAATGGCACGACCACTCTGGAAAATAGTTTGGCAGTTTCTTAAAAATCTAAATAAACTTAACCATAAGTCCCAGCAATTGCCCTCCTAGGCATTTATCCCAGAGAATGAAAACTTATATCCACACAAAAATTCGTGCAAAATTTTCCTGTAACTTTACTGTAATAGTTCAGTACTGTAAATGACCAAAATGTCCTTCCTACTCAACAGTAAGTGAGTACTATTGATACCTGAAACAACTTGAATAGATCAAGGGCATTGTGCTGAGTGAAAAACAAGATTCTCAAAAGATCCCCATACTCCATGGTTCCAGTTACATAGCATTATAGGAATGACAAAATTCACAAGATCTCTGCACTACCTTTGGCTTATTGTTAATCTATATTGTTTCGATCAAAACCTTTAAAAAAAAAAAGGAAGAAAAAGTTAAATCATACACAGAGAGTTAAGGGGAGGAAAAAAAACCAAAACAAAATTAAAAAAAAAAACAACAAAAAAACCAACAACAAAAAAAACCACCAAACAAAAAAACATAAAAAACAAACAAACAAAAAAACACCCCAAAAATTAAATCCTCTAAAATCAAGAAAACATGAAATGTCTGGAAAACCACATCAAGGAAAGAAATTAGATAACTATTTCTTTAAGCTGACAATCTCAAGTGTTCAAATGACACCAAAAACCTTTTTAAATTAGCAGCAAAAAAATTACATTTCCATTAATATGCAAGAACATGAGTTGGTAAACTAGAGCCTGTGAGCCCACTCTAGTCCTCTAATTTTGTAAATAAAATTTTACTGAAATGCACACAAACACACACAAAAAACCCCAAAAAACCAAAAAACAAAACCAAAACACCCCAAACCATAAAAAACAAAAAGAAAAAAAATTTCCCCCAAACAAAAATCTTATGGCTATTAATATTGTCATTTTCTATCAGACAATCAAAGAACAATGCTGTACTTTTCATTTAATAAGAACACAAAAAACATCCTGCCAGATATCAATTCTGAATCATGGTGACCCACATGTTTCAGAGAACTATACTTCTTAGGTTTTTCAATGGCTGATTATTTGGATTATTTACTAGGCCTTTCCTCTCAGCTGCTTCTGGGTGGATTCAAACTTCTAACCTTTCACTTAGCAGCCAAGTATATCTGAACCACTCAGGGACTCCTAATCAGAATATAAAAAATTTTAATAATCTAGTAGGTGTCTCAGAAAACAAAATTTCTGTATTATGGCTTAAATAAAATCAAGTTTTTATCTGCAAATCTCTTTTAACAATCTGTATATAAAACCAATCTTCCCAGTAAATTCTAACACAGATGTACACAAACAACGGAAATAACAACCACAGTTACAATACCTTAGAAAGTATCAAATCGCCTAACCATCGAACACAGTCGACATAATTCCTATGTATGTCTCTGGTAGAAAAGTCAGGAAAGTGAATTTTCTGAGAAATAAATGGCCTGAAGAAAGAATGGAGATGTCAAAACTTAAATATAATATAATCACTAATTTACATGTTTCTAAAACTTCAAAAAACTAAATGACTACTAATTTCTTTTTCCTACATAATGAATATCATTTCTGATTCCTAGGAGATAAAGTATCATTCTGAGGGTGGGTTTTTATTTTTGTTTGATCTTTCCTATTACTGGTTCTCATACTAAATAAACTTGTTCTCTTTGCCAAAACAAAGTTAACATATATAGGCATTCAGTATTTAATAGTGGAAGAGTTAATGCTAACCTGATATGATTCTACAAAAAAATAGTAAGACACATTAAGAATAAAGACATTATAAAAAAAAATTAAGAAAATGACAAAATATCCTACCCCATAATCCCATGGAGCAAAACTCCACCTTTTAAATTTTCTTAGTTAATGACTCAAATATGACTGAAAAAAAAGGGTTTCATTATGAATTTAAAAATTATACATTAAGTGGATTTGACTTCCATATTGATAGCTTAAAAAGTATAAATATTAAGAGGGAAAATATACTAAATAAATCAAGACAAAAAACTATTTAAAATAGGTTTTAAAAGCTGAGATAAAAATTAACAATAAAGAAATTTCTTTTTAAATAAGTAAATTTCATGTTATGATAACAAAATCTCAAACCACTGAAAAAAGTTATAAACTCAAGGTTGGATAGTTTTTTTGTGAAAAAGAATTCTGAGAGGGGGGGGAACCTCACCCAAAGTAAAAACAAAAGCAAACTGTTTCAAATACCATAGTTGTTACCTGTTAGTTTTATTTGGATTATAATCATAGGATTCCTTGATTGCATTCATCATTCTCTTTGAATTAATTCTCCAAAGTTTAAGAGAGTGATCCATACCACAGGACATTATTTTTTCACCCAAAAGATCATAATCCTGTGTGTATAACAGAGATGTTTAAACTAAGCATATAAATTACACTAATAATAATACTATTCATTTACCTTGGACTTAAAAAGGCAACTTCTCAAAATACTTAGGAGGCTTACTTTACAACAAAAGAAATAAAAATTTTGCAAAATTACACTTGCAGGATGCATCAACTCATACTGTTCTGCTCTGTAAAAATAGTAACTTGCTGCACATACAGACTTCTTTCTTTTCAGCTATACAGGTCCTCTCCTGCATGGAATGTCTAGTGGTAAAGGAGCTGCCTAGTAAACCCCAGAGGAAGAAAATGTAGGTGTTGCTGTGAATCCAGAAGGTCATGAAAGGGTTAAAGGTAAATGACAAACATTTTCTATAAACAAAAAGGGAAACTGTAAACTTTATATAAAAATTGAAATCTGTTAATATAGGCAAGAAGCAAAAGGACCAAACACAAAAGTATAAATTCATCTATCTTGATCTATTTTCCTCTATATAAATGTTTCTGATCTTTTCAATTTCTTTTTTTTGCAATTTTCTATACAAAATCTTCAAAATGCACAAATAAAATATAACTTGGTTCAAATAAAATAAAATGCCTGTTTTTCAAGATTTAATGAAAAACAATGGAGTGGTAAAACTGCTTCAGAAATCAAGCTTCATAACCCAGTGTGAACGGAATTTTTTTTTCAACTTCAAGCAAAGGATAAAAAAGTTGTTTAATGGATCCTTTTTTATAACAAGTTTTTTCTTTCATGAGGGAAAAAGCAAAACAAACATTAACTTGGTGATTTTAGATTAATAAAGGAAAGGAAGAAATTCTTAGCACTGTTTAATGAGAATCTAGGAGCTGGTATAAAAAGTACAATTAAAAGACAAAAGGAACAAAGAACTTTGATTTGTATTCTTTCACCCGTATGACTGAACTCTTATACAGGCATACCTTGCTTTGCTTTTCTTTGGCGGTAACGGCATTTTTTTTAGCCAACTGAAGATTTTCAGCAACCATGCATTAAGGAAGTTCATAGTCCATTTTTCCAAGAGCATGTGCTCACTTCATGTGTGACATTTTGTTAATCTTTACATTTCAAAAATCTTCACAATGCATTACTGCACACTCACTAGACTACACTACAGTATAAACCTAACTTTTCTTATATATGCACAGGGAAACCAAACATTCCAGTGACTTGCTTATTGCAGTGATCTGGAACTGAACTCACAGACAGTATTTTTCAAGGTATGCCTATACTTCAGAAATGAAATTTCTCTCAATAAGGACAGTAAAGTCCTATAGTTATTGTTCAGTTACATAAACCTGACGGTCTATATCCTGCAGCATTTAACTTACAGCACTTAGAACTTCATCTCTGTGCCCTTCTACACCACCAAATATTGCCACCAGAGTATCTGTTTGGATATTCCACAACCGCAACGCATGATCTAGTATGAAAACAAAAAAATTAAATATTTACTTTTATCATTTACAATAGACTTTCAAAACCTTAAAATAAAAACTGTGAGTTGGACCTACATTAAGTTAGCTACAGCAAAGACTAAGAATGGAATCCTTATTAGGTTACTGCTGTTGTTAAGTGTTGTCGAATCGAGCATGACTCATAGTGACTCTAAGAACAAAAAGTCCAAAACCCTGCTCTACCCTGTGCACACCTCACACTTCCTGACACACAAGAGTCCACTGCAGCAGTCACCACGTCAAATCCATCTGGCTGATGGTCTTCCTCGCCTTTGCTGAGTCTCCACCATTCCCAGCATGATGTCCCTTTCCAAAGAACAGCCCCTCCTAGCAACACGTGCAAAGCAGGTGAGGTGAAGCCTGATCATTCTTGCCTCCAAAATGCATTCTGGATCACATGTAGAATTAAAGTAGGAATAAGCTCAAATGTAAAGAAAATATTTACATGATCTTTAAAATTCTTATACTTACTAGAAAGAATTTATTTAAATGACATTCTAAATTAATGGGTATGTTTTGAAAATAGAAAATATATACTTAAAGATTTAGCATATGTAAGTTTTTTAATTTGGCCAGAACAAGATACTTAATTTTTCCCTTCACTGTAGTCAGAGTACATTAATTAACTGAAAAGGACTAAGTTTTTTGATTGCATAAAATCTCTACAGTAAGCATAAAATATAATAAACTACACACATAATACAATTTTATGGAACAATCCCCATTCTTTTAAAATTACACAGTTGTAAAAAAAATTTCATACCTGTACATTTTTTTCCATTAAAAAGTAACAAAATAAAGTGCCACATTAACAAAGGTTAAGTCATGTATGTAATGACCATGCCATATGTCAACATACATGGGTAATACCAATGGAGAGTGGCATAATGTATTAGTGATCAGGGTTCTGAGGTTGTAAATCTCTATGGGCATTAAATGTCTCCATCCAAGCAGCTGACAGATTTGAACTGCTGACTTCTGGTTAGCAATGTAACATATAACAAACGACATCACCAGACCTCCTTATATTCTCAACAGTAAAAAAGCAAATAAAAATAAACCCCTAAAAAAAGAAATAAACCCCTAAAAAAATAAATAATCTATGGACATTGTTGTCCAGACTGCTTTCTTTTATGTTTATTCCAGGCAGTGAAAATGCTGGGTCATACAGTAACTATTAGTTAAACTTTTTTTAAAGCCGTATTTATAACTGTGAAGTAGAATATGTATATGGTTTTCATTTGCATAAATGGACATCATGTTTCGAAAGGTGCAGAGTTGGCGAAAGAGGAAGACTCTTAATAAAATGGCTACACACAATGACTGCAGCAAGGGGCTCAAGTAGGTCAGAAATCATGAGGATGGCTCAGAATAGTTTGTAGGGTCACTGTGGGTTTCACTTGACTCAACAGCATGTTACAACAATGATGAAAGCCACTGAGCATTTTTTTAAAATGTGTTCATTATCTTCTCTAGAGAAATGTCTTTAGAACTTTTATTTTTTAGTTATGTCTCTTTTCAGTGTTGAGAGAGATATATATAGGTTGTCCTTCCACTTTCTTAATGATATTGATTGTAGTGAAATGCCTATTAATATTAAGCAACTGTTTGATTAAAATGGTACTCTTTAAAAGCCAAAGAACACACAGGTAGATTTTTTTTTCTTTTTCCTCTGGTACTTCTTAAGGAGTTTCCCTGCAAAGATGATAAACTGTGAAAGCCCAACGAGGTTTAAGAAAACTCGCCATGAGAGACAAAGTAAAATATGTAAGGTGGGACAATAACTAAGATGAAGATGCTCCCCAGAAGTTTTAAAAGGACTAAGTAACCATCCAGGGACAATGATGTGATGCCACTTTAAGACAGTCTACTCCTCTAAGTTTACTGGCTGCAGGTATGTTACTGAACATAGGGTAGAATAAACAAGTATGGCAGAAGTGCTCAAATTTTCTCTAAAAGCAAAACAGAATCAAACTCTTTACTAGACATACAGGGAAAAACAGATAAAAGTTGTGATAGAGTAAGTGAGGAATTCTAGTCTGTTCCAAATACAGAGGAATATCTGAGTCTGGTTTATTGTTGTTGCTATGTGCAGTCAAAACCTAGAAAAGACAGTTGAGTTTTTGTGGTTTTTTTTAAAGCAGCACTTATGAGCCGGAAATGTAAGGCTTGGGAAAGAAATTAACATTGAAGCTTTTTTTAAATCTCAGCAATTAAAGCAGAGGTGAATAAATGTTAATAAACCCAAGAAAAGAAAACACATATGGCTAAATAATAAAAATGCAAACAGAAATGGGCATTCAAGAGTAATCTCATTTCCAAGAGCTAAGAAATCATAAGAATGATTAGGAGGCTAATATGAACCAAGAATGTACCTACAGTGCCAATATAAGCATGTTTTTGTTGTTGTTATATGCCGTTGAGTCGCTTGCGACTCATAGTGACCCTATGTACACTAGCCCTGAAACCTGATCTATCCTGTGTAAACTTTACTGTCTGACACACCAATCCCCATTACCCCAGTCACTGAGCCAATCCATCTCATCTACGGTCTTCCTCTTTTGTGCTGTCTCTCCATTCTCCCAAGCATGATGTCTCTCTCCAAGGACGGGTCCCTCCTTGAAACAAGCCTAAAGTATATGCCTAAAGTATGTCAGATGAAGCCTCAGAATCCTTGCCTCTAAGAAGCAGCCTAGTTTTACCCTCTCTAGGATGAACCTGTTTGTTCTTCTGGCAATCTATGGTATATTCAATACTCTTCTCCAGCACCACAGCTCAAAGGCAACAATTCTCTTTCATCCCTACTCACTGTCTAACTCTCTGATGCATAGCAAGCAAATGCAAAGACTATGGCCTGGATCAGCAGCACCTTAGTCTCCAGACTGACACAGCTGTTCTTCAATACTCTGGAGAGGTCCCTGATTCATCTTTTGATTTCTTGGCTACTGGTACCAAGAGTGTTGATTATGAAACCAAGCAAAGTAAAAAGTTGTTAACAATCTCAATCTTCACCATTTATCTTAATGCTGCTGTAGAGAGGGGGGAAAAATGCTGTCATAGTTTGAAAAATACTTCAGTGTTGTACTAGAGAACTTATTACCACAAAAGAGTAATATATCTAATCCTCAGGACCAGTTTTATTTATTTGCTTAAAATCTTAACAGCGGTCCTTTTACTTAACACAGAGTTGAGATACTAATAGCCTGAAAGTTTTCAACTAAAGTTTCCTGGTACAATTTTTTTCCACTTTAGAATACTGTCTTTCCCAAATAAATAAGGCTAAATAAATATTTACTTTTCTTACCTTTACTTACTGACAGGAGAAGATTTGGATCTCTTGGGTGGAATTTCAGCTCATTGATAGCATTTCCATGGCCAACATAATGCTATAATAAATGTAAATAACTTCAAACATCTTAAAAACCAATTTAAGAAAATTCCTTTCCATAAATCTTGAAGAAGATAAAAAATAGTTTCACTTAAGAGAAGTAACCGTCAGCCTTGGTTGATATTAAAATCACCCAGCACACACCCATGTTTATCACAGCTTTGTTCATGATATCAAAGAGTTGGAAACAACCCAAGCGCCCATCAACAAACAAATGGATAGGGAAGCTCTGATATAGTCACACAATGGAATACTTCACTGCACTGAAAAACAAAGAACTCATGCAATATTATTCAAAATGGGTGACCCACGAGGATATTATGCTGAGTGAAATATCTCAGTCACAAAAGGACAAATACTACATGGTGCCACTGCTGTAAAACAGAACTTAGGGGGGGAGACTGAGAAAGATGGGTTCAATAATGTATAATGTATTCAAACAGATGAGAGAGAGCTGTTTGGAAGGGATATGTAATTGGGTATTTTTGTCATGACAGGAGTCCAGAGCCAAGGCTGCTTTGTGGAGTGGACCTGGGGGAGGGTTTGTAAAACAATGAAAGAATTTTTCTTTTACTTTTCCAAGAGGGTAGTGTACTGGGTGGTGGTGGTGGGGAGGAGGGTTGGGGGGGGGAGAAAAGTGCAACAATGAATGAATGGAAATCTTAAGTCTCTGTAAATTTTCATTGAAATTAATAATAAAAAAAATATTCATTGATTGTCGCACAACTTCTGTCCTCCTTCCCCAGTTCACTTTCCTAGGCCCCTCTAATTCTGGACTACTGTCATATAAATAATGCCTAATTATATATCCCTTTTAAACAGTTCTTTCTTTCCTTCATCTGTTCCAGTGTGAGGCTCATTATTTATCCCCTCTTTTCTTAGCATAATGTTTTCAAACTTCACTCATGCTGTGGCATGCATTGTTACTAAATTCTTCTTTATGACCAAATAATGGTCCATTACATGGATGTACTATCTTTTCATCACTGGACAGACAGGTTGTTCCTCTTTTTTTGGGGGGGGGAGGGAAGGACTATTATGAATTATGCTGTGATGAACATCCACATTCCAGTTTTTGTGTAGACATATGTTTTCATTTGTCTTTGGTATATACCCTAAAGTAGAACTGTTCAGCTATACAATAGCTAACTTTTTTTTTTGTAAATTTGGGGTAATTTACTGTACATGAACAGTTTAGTAGTACAACTTTCTTTTTCATTAAATGTTTTCTTTTATTAATGAAAAAAAAAACCCAAACAAACAAAAACCACAACACCCAGCAAAGAAAAAACTCTTAAGACATAATAAACAAAATAACCTAAGATTTAGTTTATTACCAACAAAAAAACCTCAAGAAAGTAGAGGACCAGAGGAAAACCCTAAACAGATGGATTGATACAGCAACAGTAACTATGGGCTAGAAGAGCATTAGCAGAGACCATTAGGGCCAAGAGAGGACGGCCACTGGAAAGACAGGGCAAGGTTCAGATCTGCTGTCCACAGGGTTAGGAGTTGTCACTGACTAGGCACCCAGCACAACAAAGGGAAAAAAAATTATTCAAGTCCCACCTACAGGCATTCTAATTTGATTTGATTAGCTGAGCTGAGGGTTTGGTAGTTTCAAACAACCATGAGATAATTCTAATGAGATGCTAGAGTTAATGAAAATCAATATAAGGTGGTCAGTAAAACTTCAAATACCCTCTAGTGTTCACCTTTCAGTTTACTACAAGGTGCCTCTGATTTTAACCTCTAATTAAATAAAACCAAGGCTGAAGGGGAAAAGTGATTAGAATAAAAAACACAACAAATATAAGCTTTCCCATTTTTTTGTTCCCCATTAATTTATCTAACGTAACAAACATATACGGAAAAAAACTGCCTACAGATAAAAACAAAGTACTTATCAAATCAAGAATTTCACAATGTTATCACTGGTTTTAAATTCAACGTGACAAGTTTTCAAAAGCATACATTCAAAAGAAATACATTTACAACTTAACAACAGAAAATCCTCACCTTTATGCACTGCATTGTTATAGGGTTAATTATCCTAATTATGCCTCTGGATCCAGCCACAGCCAGCAGAGGATGGCTTGTATTGCTATCATATGTCCAGGCACAAGTATAAAAGTTTTCATCAGCCTAAGAAATACCACTGTTAAGAAATCTAACTTGGTTTTGGAAAATACATCAATAATGATTAAAATATAGTACATAAAGCCTCCCAATAAACTGTTACAGTTTTGATATAAGAGCTTATTTTATCTTATACAATGCTAAATTGAGGTCTGAAAACCTAAAACCACCACCAAAACCACAATCCTTTTGCTCAATTTTAATTACTTACTTACTGGCACTATTCAACTTTGCATTTGAAGCATAAAAATAACCACAGACATTGTGTAAACAAATAGAAGTGGTTGTAGTCTTTAAAGTTACTACAGGCTGTAAAAAGAAATAGGCTGGAAAATGGTGACTCCCATCCTATGTAAATATGTCTGATTATGTATCTTTACATAGGAAAGAATAAATACTCTATTTTCCCTTTGTCTTTCCCAATATTGTTATAGGGCAGTGCTTTCCACATCATCTTCACAGACTAAACTGTGTTTGCTAGAATTTTCAATTGCATCTAGAAGGCACACCTGTTTTGTTTTTTTGTTTGGTTTTTTTTTTATTGCATCACCTAATCTTTTGACTTTGTTGTTGCTGTTATGTGCCATTGAGTCGTCTGCAACTTATAATGACCCTATGCACAAAAGGTCTGAACCCCACTCTATTATGGGCCAATCTCTGCTTGCCATCCCTACCCTCATTACTCCAGTTACTGTTTCAATCCATGTCATCCAAGGTCTTCCTCTCCTGCGCTGTCCCTCCACCCTGCCAAGCATTATGTCATTTTCCAAGCACTGGTAACTCCTGGCAACACAGCCAAACTATATGAGATGGTGTCTCATAGTCCTTGCCTCCAAGAACAGCTTGGCTTTGCCCTCTCCAGATCAGACCTGTTAGTTCTCTTGGCAGCTCATAGTATGTTCAATACTCTTCTACAGCACAATTCAAAGGCATCAGTTCTTCTGTCCTTTTTAATCATTGTGCAGCTCTCCAATGTGTAACAGGCAACTGCAAAGACAAAGGCCTGGATCAGGCACATCTTAGTCTCTAGAATTGTTCTTTAGTACTCTGGAGATGTTCCTGACAGTAGATTTTCCAAACACAATTCATCTTTTGATTTCTTGAATGCTGCCGCCAGAAGTGCTGATTGTGGAACAAAGCAAGCTGAAATTATTAACACTGTCAATCTCTTTTCCATCATAGTGCTGCCAGTGGGTCCGGTGGTAAAAAAATCTTCATTTTCTTGATATTAAACTTTAGTCTGTATTGGAGACTATAGTCCTTGACCCTCTGCAAGAAATGCTTCAGGATCTCTTTAGTCTCTGCAAGTAAGGTTGTGTCACCTGCATAATGCAGGTTGATGATGAATCTTCCTCCAATCCTGATGCCACATTCCTCTTCATAAAGTCCAACCTCCCAAATGATCCATTACACATATAGATTGAAAAGATGAGACCATCCATGACACACTCCTTTCCTGATTTTGAACCATGCAGTTTCCTTGCTCTGTTCTGCCAACTGCCTCCTGGTCCCAGTGTAGGTTTTCACATGAGCACAATCAGGTGTTCTAGGATTCTCCTTCTTCTCAAGGTCAGCTACAATTTGTTGTGACCCACACAGTCAAATGCCTTTTCATAGTTAATGAAACATAAGACATTCCTCTGGTATTCTCTACTTTCAGTCAAAATCCATTTGACATTTTCCCCTTTATAAACCAATGTTTTATTCTATTTCCTAAACTGCATGTTTAAGGAGCTCTGGTGATGTAGTGCATAAAATGTCTGCTACAAAGTGAAAGCTTGGTGACTGGAATTCCTTAGCCACTCCCTGGGATGCACAATCTCTTCTGTAAAGATTTACAGCCATGTGATGGACGATCACTACAAGCTGGAACTGACTCGATAGCAATGAGTTAGTTTTTAGAAACTGCATTTTTTTTTAAGTGCTTTTTTTTAATTGGTTTACATACAATAATTTGTATACACCGTGTTTCATACAATCACCCATTTATATTGTATTTCATTCATGTGCACTGTATTTCATAGAATTATTATTGACCTTTGTCTATCATGCCTTCTTTTCAAGTCCCCACTGAGCTTTCTTATTTGTTCATCGCCCCCAACTGGCAAATCTGCTGTCCCAGCGATTTCCGGTGTCCTCCTTCCTACCTTCTGGACAAAGGAGGAAAGGTTTACACAAATCTTACTAGTTATTCTTCTATCTTTACAATAATGGTCTATCAGTGTTTGTTATGAGACTGTTAGGTCACTAAGCATAATGCTGTCTAGACTCTCCCATGCTCGACAGTATTTTATGAAACCATTGTGTATTAGTGCTGCATAATATAACATCATGTAAATGTACTACAATTTTGCAATCCATTCATTTATTGATAGGCATCTGGACTGTTTGCATTTTCTTGCTGTTGTGAATAATGCTACACCCAATAAAAATAGATATACATTGGTGTCTTAGTTCTATTTTCCTTAGAGTATATTCCTAGCATTGCAATAGCTGGATCATACGGAATTTTCTATGTTTAGCTTTTTAAGGAAACACCAAACTGCGTTCCAGAGTAATTATTATTTTGTAATCCCACAAGCAGGGCATGTTTTAATCTCTCCATATCTTCAACATTTACTGCTTCCTATTCTGTTATACTTTGCCATTAGCTTTCTTTACTGCCAGTGATTCTGAGCATTTCATGTGTCTGTTAGCTTTATGAATTCATCCTTTAGTCTTTTCATTTTCAGGGTGCTTGGAAGACTGTTTATGTTGTGGATTAGGATTTCTAGAGTTCTTCCAAGCTTTTCTTTAATGAAGTTTGTAGTACTTGGTTTTAGTCCTAGGTCGATGATCCACCTAGAGTTGGGTTTTGTGTATGGAGTGAGGTGTGGATCTTTCTTGAGTCTTCTGCATAGTTTTCCAATTTTGCCAACACCATTTGTTAAAAAGCCTGTTGCTTCCCCACTTAACTGTTTTCATCTCCTTGTCAAAAATCAGTTGACCGTAGGTAGATGGGCTGATTTCTGAGTTCTCAACTCTATTCCACTGATCTATGTGTCTGTCATTGTACCAGCACCATGCTGTCTTGACCACCACGGCAGTGTAGAAGAATCTGAAATCAGGGAGTGAGATGCCTCCTACCTTTTTTCTATTTTTAAGGAGGGCTTTGCTTATTCAGGGCTTTTTTCCATTCCAAATGAAACTGGAGATTGCCTTTTCCATCTCGTTGAAGAATGAGATAGTTGCATTGGGATTGCATTAAATGTGTAAATTGCCTTTGGTAATATTGCCATTCTCACAATATTGAGTCTTCCTATCCATAAGCAAGGGATATTCTTCTACTTCTCCAGGTCTCTTTTTTTTGTTTCTTGCAGTAATTTTTTGCAATTTTCTTTGAACAGATCCTTTCTGCTTCTGGTTAGATTTACTCCCAAGAAGAAGATAAAATATATGAAAGGGACCTTCTAAGAATCAAATCCCTATGCACATCTAAAAACTCCTCCAACAGGGTAAAGAGGGAAGCCACAAACTGGGAAAAAGTATTTGGTAATGACATGTCAGATAAGGGACTTGTATCTAGAAATTATAAAATACTTGAGCACCACAAGATAAAGGTAAACATCCAATTTAAAAATGGGCACAGGATATGAACAGACACTTCACCAAGGAAGACATTCATATGGTCAACAAGCACATGAAGAAATGTTCCAAATCCCTAGCTCTAAGAGAGATGCAAATTCAAACAACTGTGAGAATAGCAAACAACAAATGCTGGTAAGGTTACAGAGAAACTGGAACCCTTATTCACTGCTGGTGGGAGTGTAAAATGGTGCAATCACTATGGAAGGCTGTATGGTGCTTTCTCAAAAAGTTGCAAA